ATTGTCAGAAGTAGAAAAAATTTAAGATTTTGTATTAAAATTCGTAGTGATTTCAAAGTTTGTCAAAGAAAAAAAATTTCTGGAAAAGATTTGATCGAAAATCTTAATTTCAGAATAAAAACTTTTACTCCTTTGGTACAATTTTTTATTTATTAAATTATAATATAATAATAAATGGAATTCTATTATTTAAAAAATGTAATCTATTTCGAAAAGGAAAATAAATATAAAAAGGTGAAGAAACATTTTTTGAAATATATATAAATTTACTAAAATTTACTTCCTAGATTCTTCTCTCATAAGAAATTAATTAAATAATTAATTTTCTATATTTATATTGAAAAACAAACTATTATTTTCTCGTTTAAATTGATGGGAAATTAATTAACTAATTAATGAAATTAATTAATTTTCTAAATTTATATTGAAAACCAAACTACTATTTTTCCCTTCAAATAGCACACATTGCTGGTATTTTTAGACAAGCAACGAAATGGAAATATGAATGTGGAAAAATAATACTGTTAGTCATTGAAAGCGACTTCATCGGGCAAGAAGCTGATATCATCGATTTGAATGAACCGATCAACTCGAGTACCTAGTAATTTGAATCGATAAGGACACGATATGCAATTCGCCTCAAGGTGCATAACTCACTAATAAAAAGAAAAAAGAACACAGACACGATTGTAATATTAAAAAAAAAAAATTATAATATTACAGCCATATAAGCGAATCGTCGCCTCTTATACATTGATATCAACGATTGGAATGATAATATAACCAAAGGTGTTAAAGTCATCTCAATAATTACATTTATAAACCACAATTGCTCGATATTTCACTTTTATAATACGCGCGGTCATAATCTGAAATCGATCTTCGATCTTGTTCAATCCCTTCAACCGCATTTTAAAATGAGATTTCAATTTTTTACACCAACTTCACTCATTTTTTTGTCCCATGCACCATCGAGAAATTGAATAAAAGATTTAATTTTTTTTGCTTCTGCGGTGAGTTACTTTTTACAAAAAAAAAAATGAGTAAATTTATTTTTATTCCTTTGTTGCAAAAAAAATTCTATAAATCTCATTGCTTGAATTATTTTATCGATCGATTAATCCTTATTAGAATATTCGCTGCTTCATTATGGAATTAATTCATTCTCTGCGAGAGGAGCTAAAACAGGTTCCTTATATGTGAACAAGACCTAGGATAATCATGAGAGACATTTTTAATCATAGCGTACAGGAAGTTGCCTATATCCTGTGTGCATCTAAGTCAATGTTTCAAACGAGATAAGAAGAATTACCTTAAAGTTCATTGAGAAAATTTCAATCAAAACTCATATTCAATCAAATTATTATTGATTATCATTTTCTTTACTATTTTTTTAAAATTAAATTCATTGTAATAAATTGAGAATTTTTCTATAATTCAATTATTTTCCAAATTTTTTGTTCGAATTCTTCAAAAATACAATGACTTATTTACTTATAATAATTATATTTAAAAACAATTTATAAATGTAAAAAATAAAATTCTATAAAATTTATATTAAAAACAACTTGACAAAATTTCCAATTAATTGGAAATTTAGTTTAATTTTTGTTAATTATAAACGGGAATTTAACTATTTTCAAAAAAATTTTAGTTTTTAATTTTTCAAAATCAAAAGACTAATTTTTTTTTATAATTTCTGAATTAAACTATTTAAAACTTGAATAATTTTTGTTAAACAAATATTTAAATTAATAATTTAATAATTATTAACCACAAATGTTTAAATAGTTTTACAATTAAAATTTTCAAAGATTTTAATTTAAGCCTTTTAAAGTTAATTTATTTCTAACAATTTATACCACTATGCTTCTAATATTTAATTATTATTATCCAAAATTTGAACTGAAATTCATTTTAAAATCAATTCTGGTAAGAAAGTTCTAAGGAAATTCAATTATTTCATTTCAAAAATCAATAATTGAATGCTTTTGAAGAATTCTAATAAAATTTTTGGGAATAATTATTTTCAAAAAATTTTAATACAATTTGAAATCCTACGAAGAATTTTATTATTATTGAAAATAATTGAATTCTTGCATCGAATTTTATAAAAAAAAATTTTAAATAATTGAATCCCTGTGAAAAATGTTGTTATTTGTAAAAATAATTGAATTGTTGTAAAGGATTTTTACTAAAATCTTTGGAAATAATTGAATTTTTGCAAAAAAATTTATTATTTATGAAAAAAATGACATTCAATTACATTCAATTACAAAAAAATTACATTAAAAAAAATTACATTGAAAAATTTTCTTCCAATTTTTTAAAATAATTGAATTGTTTCAAAGAATTTCATTAAAATTGTTTTAATCATTTTCAAGAGTTTTATCAAACTTTTTGAAAATAATTTTTTATTTCAGGCATTAAAAGATTTAAAGTAGTTTGGCGCCAAAACAGTTATTTAAATTGCCGCCTAGATAGCATAAAAATTCTCCCACAAACGAAATGAATAAATTATTTTTATTTAGTTTATTATAAATTTAGTTTATTAATTTATAACTCTATAGAAATAAGAGGAAATTGTAATTAACAGGAGAAAGATTTTTTTACAAAAGGTTTTATGAAAAAGACAATTAAATAAATGATTTAATTCATCTCAAAAAGCATCTAGTATTTACAAAATAGCGTAAGAAAATAGAAAAACTCTTAAAACTAAAAGAACAGATGAGGCTACCATTGTGTAGCTACTTTTTTTGTCTTATTACAAAAATTTATCAAAACACACAAACACTTTTTTAGAATTTGTTATTAAATTAATGTCACACCTCATTTTTTTTTATTTGAGCAATTAACATTCAATCTAAGTACATTTTCGTGGAAATATGTATATTACATATAAATTTAAATATAAAGAGAAGAAAAAAATAATAGAAAAAATCAGTCTTGAAATTATTAATTTGTTAATTTTCATTAAAATTATTCTTCTATAAAATATGTTAGAAAATTACTGTCTTAAAAAACGTTAGAATTATTCATTATTTAATAGTTATAAAAATAATGTACAGGTTTGTAAAATAGTTAATTATTTCATTAAATAAATAATTACTAAACACAATAATTTATTTTATTGAATAAATAAATAAATAATTATTAAACACAATAATTTATTTTATCAAGTAAAAAAATTGTTAAATTTAATAATTATTTATTTTTTTGAGTAAATAGGTATTAAACATATTATTGCATAGGTACAACTTTTTAAAAATTTAATAAAAAAGTAAAAAAAAAATTTCAAAATACCTACAATTAAAAAAATTGATACATATTTCCACGCTACTGTAGAAATTCTAACAATCTCAGTTTAAAACCTGAGTATCACACAAATCACAACTTATGTGTTTATAATCTATACGTATAATTAAATAGATAATAATTTATTATTCATTCAAACTATTATTTAAATTTTTTCACATTTTTCACACATTTCACTTTTATTCACAATATCTATTCTGATGTATTGTCACTTGAAAAATATTGCGCAAATATTTATAAATATTTTGTTTTATATATAAAAAAATATTTCACACATTTATTTCCCACACTTCTTTTTTTTATATAAACTCTAGTCGCATATAAATTCATTAGTAACCACACATAATTATAAACATTAATTTTTCCTTTTCATTGATAAAAAGAAATAAATTTTCTTCGTCCAGCATATGCACATACATATCTTAAAGTTGCTTTAATTAATATTGATTCGTTGTATATACTTTTATTGTAATGCAGATTGCATCACTTTCCTGTTCAGAAACTAATCTTTTTAATTGAAAACAAGCACTATTTTTAATTGAGTGCAGCATATAATAATAATTTCTCAACGATATAAATCAGTAATTTCGTGAGTTGTATAATATCGACAACGCTAATTACTTTTGACTTCTGGAATAAATGACTTTACTTATTTATTAATAAGCAGATAACCTATTCAAAGTTCAATAATATTCAATTTTTAATTTCGTCAACTCAAGTCAAAAGCACGCAAGCACACAACAACTTATTCAATTATTTTTTAAAAAATATTTTACATAAATATTTTATTATGAGGAACACGTTTTCTCTTTGTATATAAATATCTATCAAAAAATACAATATCTATATCAAAAATAATTTTTCCATGCATTACAACATTAAATAAAATCCTCATCATATTATTTTATGTGCGTCTTTAAAATTAATTGTATTTAGAGTAATTTAATAATTTTTAAATTTTCACTAATCTTGAAATTCACATGACTTCTGATATGATGTATAAAAATTATACATTGTTGTCACGAAATTTTGTAAGCTTACTATTCTTTTTATTATTGTTTTTAATCTTATTATTTTCATTATTATTTTTATTTTTATTTTTAATATTATTATTATTCTTATTTTTATTATTATTTTTATTCTTATTATTATTATCATTATTATTATCAAATTTTATGATTCACTGATATAATTTCAAATCAAGGAATGATTTAAAATTAATGAATTAATACAATTCTGATTAAACTTTAAATAGTTTAATTAAACTTAAATTAATCATAACAATTAAAGTTTAATTAATAATGTTGAGTTGGGATAAAATAATCTTTAGAAAATAAATACAGAAAGATATTGTTCAAAGAAAATTATAAAAATAATTGAAAAGAGACTTAAAAATCAAGACTAGAAATTTTAAAAATCAGAAACTCAATTTCTACAACACTTTATAAGACTATGTTCTATTAGTGGTAGAATAATTCTTCTTTCGTTTTTTCTGTTTCATTTAACTGAATCCAATTTTTATAATTTACAATCAAAACAAATTTTCAATTTAAAAAAATTTTTTTTTGATTGAACAGATTTTTTATTTTATTAACTTTCTGTTAAACTGAATTCATTGAGAAAAATTTTTCAAACAGGAATTCTGCTTCATGCATAAATGGAATTTTAATTATAAAAATGTCTAATTATTTTTTTAAAAAAAGTATTTTTAATTTTGGTTGTCCCAACAACCAAATGAACCATTATTTTTATAATTTTGGTTGTTAAACTAAACATTTGTTACCGAAAACAAACAGAATTCTTAGTGTAAAATAAATTCCATTAAACTCATCCATAGAAAAATTCTCCTCAACAAAAATTCAGTTTAACAAAATTTTGCCTAGACGCAAATTTCCTAAATATTGACTGTACCTAAAACATTCACTATTCGCCAATTTGGAACATAGATCTTAAAAATTTCGATTCCCTAAAAATTCGAAAGAATAAGAACTCGAGAAAACCAAAATCAGAAAGAACAAAAGTCCTGAAACCCAAAAGTCGACAATCAGATAAACAATCAGAAAAAACAAAAGCAACTAAAACACGCACTAAAACTGAATAATTCGACGACAAAAAAAACACTACAAATATTTTGGTTCTCTAATCAAAAGTGGCACTCGAATAGTAACCATTGTTCTGATAATCATTTAACCTAATAGGTTGAGGAATAGTCTGCGAGCCATCGGGCCTAAGAAGATAAATGCTACTCGGTCGTCCATTAAAAACATAAGGTCCCTTGTCTAAATTCGTTATTTGATTATCGTTCCTCGATGGGAGCTTTTCGTCTTGCCATTGATACACCGATGTTGGTTTGCCATTGCTAATAAAGTCTATCGGCACTTTTATGAAAGGGTTAACGTGCGGTTGATAAATCGTCGGTGGCCTTGGGGGCCTAAAGGGCCTTGCATTTGCCATGGGGGGATTGAGGGGTGGTAGCTGTGGCTGTTGCTGTGGCGGCGGCGAATATCTCGGCGGCTGTGAAACATACCCCAAACCTGGAACGAACATGTACGGAGTGGGCGGCAGTTTAATATAATAAATATTGCTGTCCTGATATTTTTTCTTCCCGCCAGGGGTTCGTTCCTCGGATACACTGTAATTGCAGTCTTCAAAATTTGAATCATAATGCGGATAATGATGACGAATTTGGGGCACATACGGATAGTGGAAGAAGAAGCCCTTATTTTTTCGATTTCTTTTTCCCAATTTATATCTGTGTTGATGATCCGTTCCTGGTGGGTCATTTTCCAAAATTGATGATGGTTTTAATGTTGATTTAACGTTTGTGGTTGTTTGACTAGGATTTATGGTTTTTGTTCTCGATTTATTGACATCATTGTCAGATGATGTTGCATCGGTTTTTTGGGAATTGTCAGCATTTGTGTTCCTCTCAATACTTTTAATATTGTTCGATGTGGTTTTTGTGTTTTCTCCACTTTTAACATTATTTTGACCGATTTTTATCTTCACATTTGGTGATTTTACACTTTCTGCACCTGAATTTTTGATATTGTTTCGTGCAGTCTTCACATTTGGTTTTATACTTTCTGCATTTCTAAAACTATGTTCTGCAGTTTTGACGTTTGTTCGTCCAGTTTTTACATTGTTTGATGAAGCTTTTCCATGTTCCGCAATTCTACCATTGTTCTCTGAATTTTTGACGTTCGTTTGTTCAGTTTTTACATTGTTTGATGAAGCTTTTCCATGTTCCGCACTTCTACCACTGTTCTCTGAATTTTTGACGTTCATTTGTCCAGTTTTTACATTGTTTGATGTAGCTGTCCCATGTTCCGCACTTCTAATATTGTTCTCTGCATTTTTGACGTTCGTTTGTCCAGTTTTTACATTGTTTGATGTACCTTTCACATTTTCCGCACTTCTAGCATTGTTTTCTGCATTTTTGATGTTCGTTTGTCCACTTTTTACATTATTTGATGTACCTTTCACATTTTCCGCACTCCCAATATTGTTCTCTACATTTTTGACGTTCGTTTGTCCAGTTTTTACATTGTTTTGTGAAGTTTTAACATTACTTTGTACAGATTTGACATTACTTTGTACAGTTTTGACATTACCTTGTACAGTTCTCACATTATTTTGTGCAGTTCTAAGATGATCTTGCGCTGTTTGTACATTATTCGTTTCAGCTTTTGCACCTTCTGCACTGACATTGTTTGTTGTTTTAACATTTACTCCACTTTTAACACCACTTTCCGTACTTTTCGTACCACCTTGCCCATTTTTAACGTTTCTTTGCGCACTTTTCACATTCCTCGGTGCACTTTTCACATTTCTTGTCGCACCTTTCACATTCCTTTGCCCACCCCTAGTAGAATTCTGTCCACCAGGAAAATTCGTCGGGGAACTTCTACCGATCTCGTTACCCAAATTATTTGTCTGCATCTGGAGAATATTTACATCATTCTCTGAGATTTGTAAAGTTTTTCTCTCCAATTTGTTTCTATCATCATTTGGCGATTTATCCCTGTCCTTCTCGATATTACTAAAGTCAGTGGCGGATTTATTGTTGTCACTATTGTGATGAACGGTTTTGATTGTGGTGAGCGGCCTTCGATCGACATTTTTAAATGTTGATAAGCCAATGTCCTTAAATGTCGATGGTGTGGTTGATGATAATCGATTTTCCGAAATGCCATCAGGCAATAAAAATTGACTAGTTTTTGTCTCTTTTGCGTCTTCATTTATCTTTGTCGGATGTCTCCTCGACGATCTCTTGGAATCCATTTTGATAGAATCGAATTCCATTTCTGGTGAAACTGTAAATGTATCTTTACTCCGACTGATTAATCGATCGTCCAAGATTTGTGATGCTGCGACTGTCACGGAAACCACAATTGGCACTAGTAACACCAATGATGTCATCATCGTGCCTGGAAAAAAGGCCTCATTAAAAATTGCAATTACTTCTGTTAATTAATATATATGAGTATAAATATTTATCTACATCGATTCGAAACTTTCGCCTATTAAACGATCCTATTAATTCATCTTGTAAATCAAATGACTAAGATAAAAAAAAATGTTAAAAATAGTTGATGTTTTTAGTATATAATATTTTTTTGAGAATAAATATATGGAGCATATAAGTTCGATTATAATTTTTTTGTTTCGTGTGACGCCAACGGTCAATTGGACATTAAATGCATCGTGTTTTTATTTTATGCTTCATGAACGACCATTGAGAACGATGTTGATCGTTTCTTTTTCAATGGTCGTCTAATAAATCGCACTCTTATAGGTACACGACAGAGTATAAGATTGCGTTCACGCCTTCGTTTTGTACGCGTTGCCCCCTGTAACCCTTTTTAGCATCAAGACGCCCTAGTGGCGAACAAAAGCACAACGATCGGTAATTGAAAGCAGGTTATAAACTCGACTAGTCACGCATTCTTGAAAGGGCCTTCCAGAAGACCTTCGGAGGTTGTGTTACGTCTACAACTAATTGTAGCGGAATGAATAAACCGCGACTTTTTTTCTTCTTCTCCTTCTGCTTCTCTTCTTCTTTAACTTAATAAAATAAGTCGCATTTTTGGGTCAACAGAGACCTTATAATAAAAATATATTCTCCCTTGTAGAGAAGAAATTATTTTACAACTTTAAAGCGAAAAGAAGAAAAGGAAAAGATGATGAAAAATTGTAAGGAAGTGGTAATCCACATGAACATGAAACTTTATTGTCTCGTTATAATAATTGATTTCGTTCTGGATTAATTCTGAATGAATCAGCAGGGTATACGATTATCGTCGATCGACAGCTGTTAACGGCTCCATGGCTCGTTTTTGCCAGCATCCCCGAGGAGAATCGCGTTATCTTTCTTGTTTCCGTCCGGGGTGTTCATCATCCTTTATTACAAATGTGTCTAACGCATAAGACCATCTTTCTCTTGCTTTTATCATATAAACTCGCTGTATATATGTATAGAACTCTGGCACCTCTCTCTCCGTATATTATATTCCCTATATAGAAACTAAAAACCTTTAGGTAACGCAGGGAGAAATCTCTTTTTCTTCAACGTCAGTAATCACTCAATAATACGCGTGGCACGAAGACGTTTATTGGCTGTGCGAAGCCAACAGCGAGCCATTACAACCTCATTACCGATCGACAGGACCAAAGACGAGGGCCCTTTTACAGATTTTTATTTCCGGTGCGAAACGCGATACCTATATATTCACTCTTGCGCGTGAGCACGAGCTTCATAAAATGAAAAGAAAAAGGGCGTCCTCCACCAAGGACGAGAGCTACTTTTTTTTATTGCTTTACATTACTCTGGCATTTATTGCCAGTTAATGATAGTCATCCCGTGAAGACTTGCAGTGAATAAAATGTTTTTTAGAAAAAAAAAGCAGGAAAAAAAATTGTAATGCATTTATAATTCATAGTCAATTATATTACTTTCGCTATTTTAGCTTGTTATATATTATATTATATTTTATATATGTGTAGAATATTATATGTATTTAAATCGAGACCACTGATTTCAATTTCAATCTTGATGAGTACTTCTGCTATAACATTTCACAAAAATTATTACAATTTTCTATAATTACGTTTTTTGCGTTCAAGTTCGTTTATAGTGTAAATAATTGCTTTTGGAAAAAAGTACGAAAACAGTTTTTCTGCAGATATCAAATTGAGACAAAAAACAAAAATTTGATTCGTTTTTTGTCTCAATTTGATATCTGCAGAAAAATAACTATGATAATAAATTAATTTTTTTCAGTTTGAGTAAAAAATCAATAGTAGTCATAGTAGTAGAACAAAAATAGAAGAGAGTATTATTTGTTATAAAAATGAATAGAACAAGTTTGATAATAGCAAATATAAAAGCATAAAAAAATTAAACTCTCTTGGCGAAAATCTTCTTATGAAAAGAGTTGATTAAAAAATTAAAATCCTACCATTACGATGTATCATTAAAATCCAGCTATCATAATATCAATCATAATCAATATCCATAAATAAAAAATTCCAAATTGAAAAAGTGATTTTGTTCTCCATCTATCTTACAATATAGAAAGTTCCCACTTATGTTTCAACCGGTTCTACTACATGTTTATCGCTGAAGGTAAAAAGTAACATTCACTCGAAACAATTTAAGAAATCTTCTTTATCAACAAAACGCAATTGTTTAACAACTTATAAGTTCTGATTTCGCTCGTACAATTTGTTTTAAACTAACATTTTTTAACCCTTTTAAATTTCTTTATATTCAAAATTCTGTTTCTGTTATGCATAGCAAAATACTACATTTAATTTTTGAAAAAGTTATCTATTTAATTATGATAAAACTTTGGAAAATTGAAAAAAGCTTTTTAGATTTTTTTCTGTAAACTCAGAGACGAGAATTATTTAATCATGATTGAATTTTATAGATTTTGAACTAATATTTTCAAGAGTTTTCCTCTTCCGTATTCTTTCTGTCAAGTTATTTGTTCCGGTTCTCCTTAACTTGAAACATTTACATTCTCGTAATATCTTTAAAATTTATCTCCTCTTGTTAAGCTAACAATATAAAAGTCAAACTTGAAACAAGGTTTACTTTAAAATATATAGGAAAATGTGTAAATACCCATCCTTTCCAGAGTTCAACGTTCTTATGTTTATTTTTTTTGTGAATGAAAAAGAGTTACGTAATTTACCCTTAATTATAAAAATAAAAAACAATACCCAATTTGGAAATACAAACTCTAGGTCAAAATAAGATCACTAATGTTTGCAATTCAAAATTAGAATATAAAATGGATTTTGAAGCAATTCCTGTATCAAATTGAAAATTTGATGATAGAGTATGAATCCTGTATAACAGTATTCAGTAATCCTGTAAGTGGATTGTTTTTCCTAAATGAAGCATCTTTCTAGAAAATAAAAAAAAAGAAAAGCTTTTTCCTTTCTTCTGCAATAAAACTCAAAGTTTCAAATCCAAAATTAGTGAAAAGTGGAGCACACTTGTATATTACCGTTTATAATAATATAAACATTCGAAATGAAGCACGTTTGAAACAGATATAACCGCATTTTCTTTTTCGGCCTACCCTGAACATGTTATGAAAAATTATATTCGTGTATTAAGGAATATACAACATCTATTTCTGTGGTTTATTCAACATGATTCCTTTTCCTTCATAGTCTCCACCACAGGCATTCACATCCATATTTACGGTTCTTAAATGAATACAAAAAGGGGGGAAAGAGAGCAAAAAAAACCCCCTTAGTAATAACTAAATTTCACCAAATGAAAAAGATAAACTAACGCTCTGCAATGGTAGAAAATTGTCTAAAATTCAAATCTCTTCTTCAAGTTAATTTTCTGTCTAATAAAATCCCAAAGCAATAAAATTCAGTGATCACTTAGCCTTTGTGAATTTTAATAATAATATATTTCTGTTAAAAAGAGTGTATAAAATAGCTCATACAGAAGAAGTAGGTTTAAGAGAGTTATTTATCATTTTCAGAAAACGAATTAGACTTTCGCAAATGCTTTAAACATACTACTTGTTCATCCATGTGGCCAAAATATACGAAAAAAATATGTATAAAAAAAGAAAGAAAAAATTAAATAAATTCGCTTTGTAGAGTTCAAGCAAGAGGCTGTGGGAAAAAGTTTATTGTTGAAACGATAGATGTTTACGCTTATATGGATGCGCATCGAGTGGAACACGTAATTTATCGTTAAACATGAGATAAATAAAAGTCCCTCTAATTTTAGATTTTTATTTTATAAATTCTAATTTACTTTTGGCCACTAAATTACCTTCGACTGACTAAACTACAAGTATTTACCCCCTAAACATCGTTTACTAGTCTAGTAAACAATAGAAAAAAATTCAAAAATCGGTATTTTTAAAATAATTATACCCATAATAATTGGAAATAAATTAGTATACAGATATGATAATTAGAAACAGTGTCTGTCTCACTCTTCACGCAATACGAATTTAGAGAGTAAAATTGTAAATTAGCACTTTTAAATGAGGACAAAGGAGAAGAGGAATCTAATTGTCTACAAGAATTATTGATAAAACAAAAATAGAAGTAATAACGATAAATTTACAGAAAATCAGGATTTCACTTTTCAAGTTCTATTTCACATAGCAGATTATAATTCAAGTCTTTAAGCACGTGACACTTAAATTGAGTATTATTGACATCTTGGATTTATTTCAACTCAAGTCGAAAAAAAATGCTGATTTACATTTTTCAATTCAATGACGACAGCGCTCACATCTTATACTGGAAATCAAGAACTAAGCAAATATATACCAACGCAAAATTACCTAAGCTTTCTGGAAACTTATTGGATAATCAATGTCATTATTTACCAACATTTTAATTTTTCTACACTTATACTTTGATCAGATTTATTTAAATTAAATAATCTTCTATTAAACCAGGAATTCCTTTATAGCCGCTCATCTTCTACGAAAAATATTTAATTCGAAGATAATCACGCTCATTAATAATAATTAACACGGTTAATTAATTTTTAATCAAAATAATCAAATAATTTAGAATTTAAAGATGATATAAGAATTGCAATCGAGAAAACAAGAAAAATTTGAAAAAACAGAAGTGAATCGCAATGCTAGGAATAGGGAAAAAAATCAAATACAATAAAAATTTGATATTTAGCAAAAGATTGAAAGATGAGAGAGTATTTAATCATTCCACGTTTTCTCTGAGGCGGAAACGAGGGCATTTTTTTTATTCAATCTTGTTAAAATGAGAAGCGATATGTCCGGTAAAAATAGTTTAAACGGATTTGAAAATCTCCCTTTCTCTTTCACGCATATATATTTCACACGATTCGCAAATTAACAAGAAGAGAAAATAAACACCTCTCAATGAAAGATTTCAAAAGAATAAATAT